TGAGGCTGGCAGACAGGCAGGCAGAGAAACGGATGGACAAACGGACGGACAGATGGACGGACAGACATAGCTTAAACCACCAGTACACCCAACCCTAAATGTACGAACCTAAATTTTGAATTTTGCCGAGCCTGAAAGCCATGGGCACCAGCTCTTGGAAAATTGGGGTGGTCCGGTACCGGCCTCTGTGCTGGACCTGCTGTCAGGCGATGGACTGAAAAGGAGGCCGCTGTTTTCACTCCTTCACACGCAGCCAAACACCCACAGGAGAGAGCACCCGCATGTAGCACATATCGGGTGCCAGATGCAGGCGCCTCATCTTGAATGGCTGCCTGTTTGCAAACGAGCCGGCAGTAGTATATAATTTTCCTATACAGCTGAAAAAAAAATAAAGCAGAGGACCTCACGACACCAGATTGTCTGCAAGATCTTAGGCCACACGAGATTCGTAGTGTTCACTTCCTGAGCCAGATACACACCTGGATTCCCACAGCACTGCCCGTTCTCCTCGGGCAGGCACTCGAAAAAAAACAAGTTCTTTTTTTCCGTTTTCCTTTCTTTTCGATGCCAACGAGGCTGGAGCACTTTACTTTTCTGCGCCCGTATGCAGACACAGAATGGGCGTGGATACGAGGCTGGAGCACTTTACTTTTCTGCGCCCGTATGCAGACACAGAATGGGCGTGGATACATAACCTGTGAATCACTGCGTACTTGCCTACAGCGGGTGTTTCTGCCCTTTTTCCTGAAGTTTGAGGGCTTTCTGGCCTTTTTCCTGAAGTTTGAGGGCTTTCTGCCCTCATATAGTGCATGCCCGCCATGTGGCGGGCCTTTTGCCACTCTGTTCCTTTTGTTTCAGTTTTTTTTTTTTTTTTTGGCTATAGCTGGGCTTCGTCCGTGCATGTGTTTTCACAGTCACAGACTCAACGTGCACCAGCGGGCAAAACAACAGTCCATTTGCCTTTTTCTGCTGGGCCCACCTCTTTCTCCCCCGACGCACTACCGGGCCCTCCCCGAGGGCTCGAATTTCTCTTCTGGCGACAAGTTTACTTTTCTGCAAGGCTGGGGGCGTGTACTGATGGTTTAAGAGTTGTTTGTTGTCTTAGGACATGTTCGGATGCGATTCTTACAGATGTTCGGAAGGACGAGGGGCCGAATGGAACTACTCTTCAAAAGGCAGGTGTCTGGGAAACTACAGGTGGATAAGTAGACTCACTACTGCTTTTTGTCTTTTTACATCTGGGACCGTATGTCTCTACTAGGGCCCGAAGGTGGATACCCTCACTAAGGCGGATAGATACCCTCGCTAAGGCGGATAGATATGCCGCTAAGGTGGATGGACACATTCACTGAAGTGACGCAATTTTCTATGAATATCTATCTTTTAGTAGACTTTTTAACTTTTATGCATTTGGGTCCGTATTTCCCTACAAGACAGATGGCCCCAACAGGCTGCATGTCACCCCACGAGCGCTCCAGGAGTGTCTTACAGGTCCTTTGTAATAGTTGATAGCTGGTCTACCAACCCGGCCACCTGGGTCACCTTGGTTGCCTGGATGGCTCGGCTGGGCACGGACCAGGGGAGGTCCCTGCCAAAAAAAAAAAAAAAAAAAAAAAAAAAAAAAAAAAAAAAAAAAAAACCCAAAGAAAATTATGTTTTGAAAAAAAAAAACTGAACAACTTTTGCCTCAGGGTCATATCAAAATTCTTTGCCGAAAAAAGTTACAAAAAGTTATAAGAAGTTAAAAACTATCTTTTTTTAAGTTTTTTATTTTGACTCATTTATGGCCCGGCCGGGCAAGTGGTCTTCGGCCACTTCGATAACGTAGGTAACAACCCCTTTTCGTGTGTGTTGTCATGTTCACTATACACAACATTACAAAAAAAAAGCATAACTGTGCCCGACTATTTCGTCCATCCAGCGGCTTAGCTCAGTCGGTAAGGCACACAAGTGGTATTCAGGAGGTCTTGGGTTTCAATTCCCATTGGCCTCATGTACCTTTGGCGCCCGCCACCTGGAGATAGCCCGTTGGTCCCCCGAGCTGCATTGATCAGAGACTGCTGATATTCGTAAGGAGGAGACCGAAGGGGAGGCACAGCGACTGGCCCATTGAGGAAGCTCGGTCCTGATGCTACCGGCTGACCCCTGGCCAGTATTGCCCACCTACAGGTCGGGTGCAGCCCCCGCATGTTCCCTCGTTGGAGGCTTGAGAATGGGCTGGCTGCTATGGCGTTCCCCGTAATACTGTAATGATAAATTAAAAAGGCCTGAAAGGCTGTCCTGTCCACATTTGACTGGTACTTGAATTGGTTGGGCTTAAAAGAATTGGCCTTTTAAACCCTGTTTCGTCCGATTTTCACCAGCTCATGCAGGCCTCCTTGGACCCCACAGACTTGTCACTGCCATCAGGAGGTTGAGCCTTGCTGAGGATGCATTTGCCTGTCCAGATTTGACAGGTCTTGAATTGGTTGGGCTTAAAAGAATTAGCCTTTTTTTTTTTTCCCCCCCCTTTTTTAAACTGTTTCATCCGACTTTCACCAGCTCAGGACAGGCTTCCTTGGACTCCCACGAACTCGTCACTGTCGTCAGGAGGTTGAACCTTGCCGAGTATGCATTTGACTCTGGGCAAGGACTCGCGACCGTGCCCACAGTTAGGAACACCCTTGAGAAAATTGGTGCACTTCACTCGCACCAGAAATGCAGTTTGACTTTACCGACACCAACCGCGGAAGCCTTTCTTTTTTTTTTTCTTTTTTTTTTCCCCAGACTGTCTACTGTCTTCACCCGAATAAAACACCTGCTCATTTTAGCTGTGTATATGGGGCAACTTTCAGTTATGGGGCAACTTTCAGTCTAAAGACAACTACAATTGACTGGGCGTTCTATTTGGGTGAAGACGGTCAAACCGTCTTTTTGTGTTCTATTTGATCACCCCAGAATCAGCCTCGATCCTTTCCAACAAACAACCCCCTGATGAGTCTGCGAAACTCCGACGAAACAGCCTGTCAGAGCGCCCCCTGTTTTTTTCTCGGCGCTTTCTCCCTTTCAGCCTACCGTTCACAGGACAGTTGTCTACGAATATATTTTTAGGCAAATAATAATCAGAGTTCCAGTTAGGCATGTCAGCGTAGTTGAGCGTCTGCTGCCCACACATCCCTCCACTTAATTCACACTTGCACCCAAAACCGAGCACGCAGCCCCCTCAACAGACCTCCACCAGACGGAACACAAGACGTCAGTAAAGACTCAGTATCCATCACCAAATATGACACAGAGACCTCAAAACCTTAGCACAGCTCATTAACTTTCCAACGACGAGCAAGTTCATGCAACAGTGCATGTGTGTGTGCAAGTTACTACTTTTCACAAAAACATTGGTGCCTCAAGAAGGGTTTTCTTTTTTTCCTTTTTTTTTCCCTTTCTCCTACGCTATATTCTTTTCTCAATGTCACCTTTCACTACCTGCCTCAGGCTACCTGCCACTCCTAAGCCTATACAGTGAACCCCTGGTCTATAAAACTCTGTGCCTCTCACAATTAAGGGGTGGCCCGCCCTAATCGGTGATGGTCAGGGA